GTAAGATATGAAGGGCAGGAGCTAGCAGGTTGGGACTGTCACCTTGGGTGTACTCTCTCTCTCTCTCTCTCTCTCACATACTGGAGAGCTAGAGCCGGTTTCTGTGGAACAATCACGGGGTTGAGTTACTAGATGATCTTGTAGGTGCAGAAGAAAATTTGTGAGATTTGAAAAACCTCACTCCCAACATTCACATGTAGATGACGATTAACAGATAATTAACACAGATATAAATAATGTGCTGCTCAGTTATTTAATAGCACATAATGTGTGAATATAATTTAGCATGTGTGCGTGCGCGCGCGCGTGTGCATGTGTGTTGTAGTGAACTGTGGGCAATGTACTCTGGACGTTTATTGAATTTCAACTCAATAAAAGAATTGTGTGAAGTCACATCAACTAAGCATGGTTTCTCTGCTGTTTATTTGGTTGCTTAGTAACCATTATTATAGTGCTAACTAATGGTGTTTCTGTCACAGGAGAGAGGTATGGTGGGTAGGACAACTAGAGAGTAAACGTACATGCATCCATGGCTGAACACCGTAATGGCAACACTCACGCATAATGCCCATAGCAACCGACATGACTAACATAACGTAATGACATAGAAAACACGATATACCAAAAAAAAACGACGACGTACATAGCACCATGAAACTTATACGATTTTGGAAGCTAAACGTTTAATTAGCAATAGAATTATAATAATTCTAGCAACATGTCGTGGTTGGCTGGTTCAAAACTAGAATGTTTTTGACGTGCAAATATATATTCAGTCAAACCTGTATTGGTCCACTTTAGTGTTTACTTTCAGAGGCAGTTATTCAGTAAAACCATTCTGTAGAACCGAGTGTCTATAGGATAAAAACATGGTACTAAATGACACTTTTTGTTGGGGAGGGGGTTCTTTATAGCGTGTAAACTTGAGTACACAGGTTTGTCTATATACATATATATTAGTGAAGTAACATCGATGTGTGCGGTGCATATCAAAGGAAAGTGTAGTTGCTGATTATTAAGCCGCTGTCCGTTTGTATGACAATTTTTCGCGTCCCTGGTGTACCGTGTGTAAGTGTGGGATTGCATGTGGCGTACGTGCGTGTGAGTGTGTGCGTGCGCAGACGTGTGAGTGTGTGCGTGCGCAGACGTGTGCGTGCGCGCGTGTGTGCGTTGGTTTTTCATTTTCTATAGCCCCACTGTCGACATATTCAAGTGATGTTTCTCCTATAATCTCACCATTTACGATAAAGAATAGTGCAAGGGAAGAGAACCGTTATATGGTTGATCGGAGATCCAATTTTTAAATTCTAATGTTGCCTATTTGAGTAATATATTAATAGGCATATAACACGGCAACATCAATGGCTTACAGGGTCTTTTATCCGACGCTGTGATGGAATGACTTCGTTAATGTACATTTACGTACATTTACGCATTCAGTAGAACTAAGAAAAATTCCCTGGAAAAATATTAATCGGTTTTACCGAACACAATAGGCGCGTTCACACGTAGCAAGAAATCCGGTATTTAGCGTTCACACGAGGCAAAATGCTCGGTCCAAGAATTACGGT